ATAAGCATTAAATAATGCCAAAATGGGGCATTTTCAATGCCTTTCTGCTCCTTAATGAACATGGGCACCCCCCTTTTTTATTTCAAAATTGAAGTTAGCAAATGACAAATATTCAGTGGACAAAGTTTGAACAAAAATCCATTGTCACTTTTATTTCAGAGGAATTACCTTAACTAGCAGAATCGTAATGAAATGGACATAGATCTAGACCTGAATGAATTAATAAGAAGGCTTCAACCATATGTGGAAATAAATTGTAAAACCATAGTTATTAACTCTTTTTGTTGCTTGCCTAATTTGGTAAATTTGAAAGCAAATTGCACTTTAATGTTGCTAGCCTATATTTTGTGTCAGTTTTTGTGTACGCGTTTTCGTAAAATTTTTATCCCTTAAATTTCTTAAACATTCTAGACAAGAAGAGCAATTAACTTCAAACATCAAGTTACGGCCTAGGTGTCCTGCGGGGTACGATGAGGGATGAGATCAAGTTATGGGTGTACCAAAACGTTTTACAAACAGGCTAAAGACTAAGAAGAAGGTTTCGCCAAATTGCAGTTCTGTAACCCAGTAACAGTACAAATCAACTGTGTGAAAATTATATATTTAGTATGCATCTACCAAGTTGGTGACAAACTTTTACTTTTCTCCTCTACTCGTATCGGTCCTCAGCCATAAAAGTCAGTTTTAAGGTACCCGCTTAGATCAGGCAATATACTTTATGCTCAGTGAAAGCAATCAATAGCACTGAACGGTTTCTTATTCTTTCATAGTAACCAGCCGTACTCCACGAAGGATTCAGACAGTTCTGGTGGCTGTCCTCAGACGCATAAGGGAGCCTGGTGGTACAAGACTTGTCACGGATCGAATCTCAACGGATTATACCTTGAAGGATCCCATTCTTCTTTTGCTGACGGAGTTAACTGGAATAGCTTTAGAGGGGTTGAGTACTCACTGAAACGTACTGAGATGAAAGTGAAGTAACGCCCAAGGGTTAAAAAAACGTTGTACGAGGGCAGAGCTACCTTAAATTTTCAAATCTTTGAATTGTCTATGAGCTACCCCTGCAAGCATTCCACATTTACTCCACTCTCTTCACATTTTGCACAAATTAGGCTTTGTGGTGCTTGAGGAGCTCTTGAGGCCCTCAACATGTAACTTTCAGAGTATTACAATTATGGCAATTAAACTTGGACGATTTATAGTGCGTCCAAAAATATTTCCTCGTTTTTCGCAGCATGGAATGATGACGTCCTAAGTCGTAGAAAAGTGCTATTTTGTCTGAACAGCCGCAATCTTGGATATCCGCCATCTTGAATTTCATGACTTTTACATAACGTTACAAAAACTATCAAAAACAGGCCAAAAGTGGTCAAAATCGATAGCAAGAGCGAAATCTATCTAAAAAGTAAAGGTTAAACTTTGTTTCATTAAAAACAAGAAAGACCAAAACTTAATGAACATACCTGTCCAAATATGATTGCTCTTGAGTTCCTTCAATTTCTGAAAACAGGTACACCACAATGAACAGACCTTACATTAAAGAGCGATATAAAATTATTGATTTCCAGCGATTGAGGGTGGTTCCATAGAGTAACCTTTTGTAGTATTGTGCGTGCTAGTGTTATATTTTGAAAGCTGTTCTTTTTACGTTTCCTTTTACACCTAGTTCACACTAGTTTATCAAATGTTAAAAGCCATGAAGAAATAGGTGAAAACTAAGAAAAAAAAAGGTATAAAAACATGTACATAGCTAATAGCTGTCATCTTTCAACAAACAAAACAAACTATGCCAAAATCTAAATTTACATGTTTAGCAAGTGACGAACAAAACATATATTCAATATTTAAACGCACTTCTCTCGGGGCCACCTGTTTAAGTGTTCCCTTTTTAAATACCAAACATGCGTTTTTTGCTTTGTTTAATCTCGTCAGTTATATGTAAGAGAAGTAAGGAAAAACTTAAAATGGTATAAAAACATGTACATCACTAACTGCTGTCATCTTTCAACAAACTGTACCAAAATCTAACAAAACATACATGTTGAAATCAACTGGATCAGGAAGGCATTGTCTTGCAAATTATCTAGCCTCACAACTCCAATTTAAATGAGATGCCTGTAGCCTTAATCCCCTATTTAGATCAAAATGTTTATGTCCCTTGCCGGAGAAGACATGGATATCTTGATGATATTGCTCCTTTGCACAAACGTGTGGTTTCAAATGAAATGTATTTCTTTTCAGCGATTGAGGGTGGTTCCATAGGGTAATCTCTTCTAGTATTGGGGGCGTTAGTGCAGCATTTTGAAAGGTGTTTTTTGCGTTCCGTTTTACACTTAGTCCACTCTAGTTTATCAAATGTTAAAAGCTATGATGAAATAGTGTTTAAGAGAGCCTGCCTGTAAAAATCAGACAAATTCTTAATTTCGCGGCAAGGGTCGAAAATTCGATTTCGCTCATATT